TATACTAATATCTCCTCAATTTGTTGGTTCTCTGCCCCCTTGCCTTGGGTCCAACCGGATATCCAAATCTCTAAATTGTCGGGGTCCTTCCCCTTCACCTTGATCTGCATCAACACAAAGCATTGTGTCATTGCAAAACCCATCAATGATGCCAAATAAAAACGTCAGGATGGAGCATAACATGGAAACAAATAAATTTTCATTGATTACTTAATTGTAATAAAAGGTACCTCCTCCACGAAAGTTGTGAAAGACTTCCCCCAGTACGATGTGGAAACCTTCTTATCTGTACATTAGACACTTTTTTCTTGGATTTAAGCTAGATAGAGACGAATTATTTAGTACTCATCCTAGGATTTTGCAAATAAAATAATCAAATGATATTTGGTCCTTATTGCATATCTTAACCTTTTTGTCCTGCCAATACTCGATCAACTTCGGCCACAGATCAACCATAATCTTGCTTAAGGGAACATTTTTCAAAGTTTTCTCGTCATCCTAGATAGGGTTGAAGTAAGTTGATTTGATGTTGTATTTTCAATGACCTCCTTAAATCAATAAAGACCACTTGCTCTACTAAGTTTGGTAATCCGTTGTTACTCTGGTAACACATTTGGCATGGTTATTACCCTATCCAACAAGATAGTAGGACAGTAAATAAAACTATAATTAAATTAAAGAAACTTTTAATTAGTGAATTTTGCATTACTTGAACTTCCATCCATGCACCCTGTCTCTTCGTCTCCGGTATTTCAGTAAATGTTTGGTAATGCAAAGGATGTCGAGCTCCGTTGCATGCAATGACCCCAATAGCAGTCTTATACTAATTTAGGTCGGTTTGAAAAAACAGCAATTATGTCTCTGCTAGTTCATGTTGTGTAATATTAAATAGAATAATAAATACCAACAACTAATAGGAGCTTAGAATTAAAGCCACCGACTTATCAATTGAGTAAATAAAGTTCAATTCAAAAGCATAAATTAGAAATAGTTCAAAAGGCATTAGTCCTTAAATATGATTAATGAATTTCAAAAGCATCTTAGAAGGTAAAGTAGTTCTAATTCCCCCGATGGATCATATGACGTGAATGCATCACCTACAAAAAGATTGTAAGAAGAGGGTAAACACAACGGTTGAGTAAGCGCAATTAATCGAAGATAAATTAATACGGTATAATGCCACAAAATCATTTGAAAAAGCTAATTGAATGAAATGACACGTATCACATAAGGGGAACTCACACACACGAGCCTTTTGGCACCGCCCTTATGTCTCTTTTTTCATTCTCAAATAATAGTGATGAACACATCACGAAGAAAACTCCACTAGGCCTTAATCAGGGCCAGCTCGACCCGGTTTTCCAACCTTATTACTTCATATGACACGTCACATAATTTCATATAACAAACATAGGGTCATAACCCTCAAAGGAAACTCTACAATGTGTACATAAGGGTTCGAAGCCCAAAGTACACGTAAATCAATTTATTATTAGTTTGCGAGGGGCGCCATACGGCCCACAACCCTCTAGTCTCCAATATCACATACCAAAAGGGGATTGTATGCAATCCATCCCTCCATCATGGATGACGGTCCAAAGGCCTTTTCATCGTGAATGACGGGCACCTCGGAATCACCCAAAAAGGGAACCCGCCATCTCGATCGCTCGACCTAGCCCATTCGGGATCTAGTTCAAGGTTAGCTAGTTATCCTAAAATACCGGTATACCCTCATGTGTTTGCAAGGCACAGAGGTGGAAGGCTATGCCTTATCATCCAAACAATCGACGAGTTGATCGGACTCGACGGGTAGTTTCAATTAACAATTTGACCAAATAATCAATATGCTCTTAAGAAAATCTCAAAAAGAGTGTTTTAAACTCAAAATATTCCAATTGTCAACATTTAACCATGCAAAAGTAGGATATTAGGCCCAACAAATTCGTTATGATCTCACTTTATTTCACCAAATAAACATTCGAAAAATATTTCAATCACAATAGGCATGGTCTAATTCCAAAAATCATAATATCTAAATAAAATCGTAAATCTTTTTCCAAAAACCATAACTAGGTTAGGGCAAAACTAGGGTTTCTAACTCATCCCATAAATTCTACGATTTTCAATTTAAAATCAAATAATAACCTTCACATAGGCCTTAGATGACATTATAATAAACTTTCTAGAAGAAATTGGCAAAACCTAACACTTTTAGGGCAAACCCATTTGACAATAATTTTTAAAAAATATCAATAGAAGGGGTTTAGGGATTAGAACATATCAATCTATTTAAGATTAATCCCACTTACTTCAAGAGAAGAAACCCAAAAGGAAGAATTTTGAAGAAGAAGAACTCCAAGAAGAAGAAGGGCCGGCGGCGGCGGCGGAGTGCGTGTTGGGTGCTGTTGTTCCTTTTTTTTTTTAATTTTATTTTATTCTTTTATTAAACATAAAATACTTAGCCCTTCATTAATTATTTTATCCTACTTTGGCCCAAACTCAATTTTTACTTCTAATTTAAACCCAACTCTTTAATTTATTACACTAAAAGACCAAAATAAATTATGCCCAAAATGAAATTTGTCCGACTCCGGCAAACTTCCAACGATTATTTTATGGGGTATTACACACGGTCACTTCCTATAAAAAACAAAAGTTAAATATACACGAATATTTCTGTGAAAATTGCACAACCTACTACATAAGTTAAACTCGCAATAATTCATAATATGCATTCTCTCTTTTAGGATAGATTTAGAACAATATATATTACATTTAGTATTTATAAAAAAAAACTAAATATATGGTATTTAATTATGCACATATGTTAATTTTTGTACAATAAATATCAACCATTAATGAAAAAATATGCTTAAAATGGAAGATATCGTACAAATATTACGTGCATAAATAGAGCCATAATAAATTTGGCAGCAAAATAAATTAATCTTGTCAATAAAGGAAATATATAAATTAATATCTTCAAAAAAAGGCAATGATATAAAGATCTTGTCAAAAAAGGAAGTATATAAATTAATATCTTCCAAAAAAGACAATGATATAAAGATTTTGGCGAGAAAGGAAGGTACACAATCAAATCCGTCAAGAATGGAAAACAGCATCTGATAGAAAATGAAAGATTATAAAATCTTTCCATCCACGTGGCACCATCCGAAAAGGAAGCCAAGGCCACCCTCTCCTATAAATAGGAGCCTTGGCCAGTTCATTACACACTGAAGTTCATTTGAAGACTCGCGCAAGGGTAAGTCTCTCTAGACTCTCTGCAATGTTCTTCATTGTTCTTCGTGTCCTTCAAAGCGTTCTTCGTCGAAAAGTCACCGATTTGGACAAATGATCCAATATTGGTTGGCGAATCGATGGAGTTAACGTTCTTCGTCGTATGTCCGAGCCGGAGGAAGGATCAAAGCTCTCAAAGCCATCGAGGAATCCATCAAAGCTAAGGAAGAGCCTCCAAAGCCGCTCTCAAAGCTTCAAGATGTTCGTTGCGTTCTTCATAAAAGGCGCAAACCAGGCCCTCTTTGATCCAAAAGTCAAAGGGACACACCGCCAAAAGCGTTATGGAGCACCAAATCCCCCCCCCCCTCAAAGATCAAATTCTGTCGAATCATCCAAAGGGGGCATCAATCCAAAGTCTACGATTAAAATCGCCAACATGGATACCAAAGTCTTCCAAAAGCCGGCGAAGTCAAACTGAAGACCAAAATCTCTTCGGATCAAGGAAGCCACCCAAATCCAAATTAGAAAAATGGATCGAACCGGAGAGAGAATCAAAGGATCCAAATAGAGAATAGGACCCGCATATATTTAAATTAAGTGTAATTTGTACGATTTTGTGTTTATAAAAATATAACACAATTTTTTTGTCTACAGATTTTTGGCACGCCCAGTGGGACAACTTTACCTTTCATCTCTCTTTCTGTCGAATTCTCAAACGATCAATGGCTGCCCACAATATCAAGACTTCCAACACTGTGTCGAAAGCTACTGCTCTAGCCGCCGCCGCCAAAGGAGTTGTTGCTACTACATCAAGAACCTCAACTGCTTCAACGAATGCTAGAGTAATGACACGAAGCATGGCTAAAAGAGTACTGTCATTTTCCGAGGATGCACATCCGAAAATCACAGAGCAAAACTCACTCTATGACGAGGACGAAAGCTTCAAGAGTACCTCCACACCGGGCACCCCTCAAGAAGTTGCAACTCATTCGACTGCATCGAGTTATGCCCCGGTGATGACCACGGACGCTTCAAACATAGAAGACTAACTTGTTGCACTAGCCAAAGTTGTTGAAGAGATGTCTTAACACATGCAGCAACAAGACAATGTCATCGCAAAACTGCTTGCAAAATTAGACAAGTCGGAACCAACCAATCACAATGCTTCAGAGGCCCAAAATGAAGCAGAAAAATCCATGGATCAACGTCACGGTAAAGAAAAAATGGCAGGACCAATACCGTTTCAAGCATCATCTGACTCCTTCATCTATCTATCCCAACTTGACGAGTATATCAAAGGAGCTCTTAAAAGGGAGTTTGAAGGAAGTTCAAGGCCAACAAATATGTATGCCAAGCCTCACACTTCAAGGATCAACGCCCTCAAGATGCCGTTGGGATATCAACCGCCAAACTTCCAACAATTTGATGGCAAAGGCAACCCAAAGCAGCATGTGGCACACTTCATGGATACATGCAACAACGCTGGGATATACGGCGATCTCTTGGTGAAGCAGTTCGTACGGTCATTAAAAGGCAACGCCTTCGACTGGTACATTGACCTGGAGGCTAGTTCCATCAACAGTTGGGAGCAGTTGGAGTACGAATTCTTGAACCAGTTCTACAACACGAAAAGAACTGTCAGTATGACATAACTCACCAATACTCGTCAATGGAAAGATGAACCAGCAATCAACTACATCAACCGCTGGAGGAGTCTGAGCTTGAACTGCAAAGACCGGTTGTCTGAGGCCTCCGGTATAGAGATGTGCGTCCAAGGAATGCACTGGGGGTTGAAATACATCCTGCAAGGGATCCGACCCCACACTTTTGAAGAACTTGCTACCCACGCTCATGACATAGAGTTAAGTATGGCTTCAAGTGGGATGCACGGACCACCGGTTCAAGAATCTTCAAAAGCAAAAAGATACGAAAAATATGATGCCGTAAAGAAGGGGAACAACGCCCCTATCAAGTCTTTCAGAAAAGAAGCCTTGGCCATAAAAGCGACGACCAAAGCACTAGTGAAGATCCAAAGTAAAGAAAATGAAGTTGCGAGGAAAAGACAATCAACTCAGACAGAAAGACCGCCAAGGCCAACCCTTAAAGAGTTGCAATCCAAAACTTATCTTTTCCTGGATTCTGACGTCTTGGGCATCTTTGACGATCTACTCGGAGAAAACCTCATTGAACTTCCGAATTCAAAAAGGCCGGAGGAAGCTGGAAAGGTTGATGACTCAAGATACTGCAAATACCATCGTGTCGTAGGACATGCCATCCATAATTGTTTCGTCTTTAAAGACAAAGTCATGGAGTTGGCTCATGAAGGAAAGATCAACCTTGAAGACGATTCTGTTTCTGCTAATGTCACTTCAATCATGTTCGGGTCTCTCGAAGTTGACATAAAAGACAAAGAATCATATTGCCTCACTACCGAGAAAGGTGGCAAGGCGATCAGAGACAAATCGAGTGAAGAATGTGCCACGATAACTTTCACTGATGAAGATTTGATGTTAGGATCCAAACCCCATAATCGTTCATTACTGGTCGTGGGTTATATCCATGAACAAAGGATTAGCCAGATATTTTTAGACGGAGGAGCCGCAGTCAATGTCCTTCCTCTATACACATTGCAAAAATTGGAAATACTAGTAGATCAGTTGTTCGAGAGTCGTATGACAATACATGGATACAATCAAGAGGGGCAAAGAGCACTTGGCACCATAAGATTGAGACTGTTAATCGATGAAATGGAAACTAACCCTTTGTTCTACGTGATAGATGCAAAGACATCTTTCAACGTTCTTTTGGGAAGACCATGGATACATGAGAATGGTGTAGTTCCATCAACGTGGCACCAATGCTTCAAATACACTCAAAATGGAGTGACAAAGAAAGTTCTCGGAGACACAAAGCCATATGCAGAAGCCGAGTCACACTTTGCGGATGCCAAATATTTCTCTACAAAAGCAAAAAAATCCAAGGTACATGAAGATGTCAAAGCACCACAACCAAACTTGGGGGCAAAGTCAAGAAATAAAGAAAAAACACCTACCTCAGGTTCTGCAGACTCATAAATTGAGCCTCTGAAAGATTTGACTCTTCCGAAGACCCCACTCAACCCAATCTTCCCCTCACAAACAAGGAACGGAAAAGAAGAAAAAATAGAGGCTATGCGATTGCAAAAGGACAAAAGCTTTGGCCCAAAAGCCTACAAACTTCTCACAAAAGCTGGATATAATCCAAATGAGCAGTCACTGCTGGGAAAGTTACCACCACAGACAACCCAAGGTTCGAGGGCTGGTCTTGGATACATGCCATAAGCTCCCGTATGCATCACTATCAAAAGGGCTGCAAATCATTATATCACCGAAAGCGAGACTTTGTCTTCCAATTCACCTCAAAAGGGGAAGAATGCAAAAGTATCGATTTTCGAGAGGCTAAAACCTTCTATCTTCACAAGGTTAGGACCAAAGATCAATAAAGAGAAAAACAAGACGAATTCCACATCAACAAAATATGTGGAGATGGATGAAGAAATCAAGAGCCGCTTTCCATCCCACATGACGCGTCAAACAAAATTGACGATACATTGCGGTAAAGTTTTAAAGGCTAAATGGCAAACCGTTGTCTTCACCAAACCCAAAGAAGATAATGAAGAAAGTGTTGCATTATCCTGCTACATCACTGAAGGGGGTGAAGTGACAATGATTGAAGAAGATGCAGGAAATGCACCCGCCGCGCTTGAAGAAGGGGTCAAAACTGCAGTGGACGAGTTAGAAGAAATCAACTTGTGAATTGAAGATCACCCAAGACCCGCCTATGTTAGCAAAGAGCTGGGTGAGGATGATATGAATGCCTACACCCGACTTCTCACCGAATTCCAAGATGTCTTCGCTTGGTCATATAAAGAAATGCCCGGCTTAGACCCGAAAGTTGCGGTCCACCATCTAGGTGTGAGGAAGGGAGCTCGCTCTGTAAAGCAAAAGCAACGAAGATTCCATCCTGAACTCATCCCTCAAATTGAAAATGAAGTCAATAAACTCATTGAAGTGGGGTTCATCCGGGAAGTCAAATACCCCCAATGGATTTCCAACATCGTGCCTGTAAAGAAGAAGAATGGACAAATCCGAGTTTGTGTGGATTTCCGGGACTTAAACGAAGCATGCCCAAAAGATGATTTTCCATTACCCATAACTGAATAGATGATTGATGCAACGACAGGACATGAAGCGCTTTCTTTTATGGATGGATCATCTGGATATAACCAAATTCGTATGGCAACTGAAGACAAAGAGTTAACCGCCTTTCGTACACCTAAAGGTATCTACTGTTACAAAGTTATGCCTTTCGGATTGAAAAATGCTGGGGCAACCTACCAAAGAGCAACGCAAAAGATCTTTGATGACATGCTACACAAACATGTAGAGTGCTATGTTGATGACTTGGTTGTCAAATCCAAGAGAAAAGAAGATCACCTGCAAGACTTAAGAAAGGTTTTTGAAAGGTTGAGGCGCTACCAATTAAAAATGAATCCTCTTAAGTGCGCTTTTGGAGTCACCTCTGGAAAATTCCTCGGATTCATTGTCCATAGTCGTGGAATTGAGATTGAACAGGCAAAAATAGATGCCATCACAAAAATGCCTGAGCCTCGTAACATCCATGAGCTAAAAAGCTTACAAGGAAAATTAGCATATATAAGAAGATTTATCTCTAACCTCGCTGGACGATGTCACCTTTCAGCCGAATCATGAAGAAGTGAGTGCCTTTCCATTGAGATAAAGCATGCAAGAAGGCATTCCAAAGTATTAAAGACTACTTGACAAAGCCACTAGTGCTGACAGCGCCAATTCCTGGACATCCGTTGACGCTTTACGTCGCTGCACAAGAACGTTCAGTTGGAGCCTTGTTAGCACAGGAAGCCAATAAAGGGAAAGAAAATGCCCTATACTATCTCAGTAGAATGATGACACCAAATGAACTAAATTATTCACCGGTGGAAAAGATATGTTTGGCGCTCATCTTCGCCATAAAAAAGTTGAAGCATTACTTCCAAGCGCACACTATCCGGTTGGTGTCCAAAGCAAATCCCTTAAAATATGTCATGTCAATGCCTGTCCTTTCTGATCAACTCGTGAGGTGGTACCTGCAGCTGCAACAATTCAAAATCATTTATGTACCACATAAAGCTGTAAAAGGACAAATATTGGCTGACTTCCTTGCTGATCATCCTATCCCCGCTGAGTGGGAGTTGTCTGACGACTTCCCTGATGAAGACGCATTTTTTCTCGAAATCACCCCACCGTGGAAAATGTATTTTGACGGCTCATCACACAAAAATGGAACTGGAGCCGGAGTAAGATTTGTCACATCACAAGAAGAAGTCCTTTCATACTCTTTTTCCTTAAAAGAAAAGTGTTCAAATAATGTAGCTGAGTATTAAGCACTTATCCTCGGCCTAAAAATGGCGGTAGACATCAAACAACGCCTACTTCAAGTATACGGGGACTCCAAGCTGGTTGTAAATCAAATCACTGGAGAGTTTGAAGTGAAGAAACCAGAACTAATGCCTTACTTAAAGTATGCTAAGGCACTCATTGAGTTGCTCGGGGATGTCTCTATTGAATATGTCCCGAGGAAAGGGAATGGGCAAGCTAACGCTCTGGCTAAATTGGCATCGACTCTATCCATCCCGGATCAACAGGTGTATATTCCGATATGCAAAGTTTGGGTGGATTCCTGCAAGTATAAAGAAGAAGAATGTGTTGACAAAGAAGTAAATCACATCATCGAGGTGTTTGAAATTGAAGAAGAAGAAGAAGATTGGCGGCAACCAATATTAGATTTCTTAAAATATGACAAGCTCCTGAGTGACCTGCGCAGACGAGCAGATATCCGAAGAAGAGTTGCACGCTATGCCTACTTCAACGGTATACTCTATCGTCGGTCGTTCGACAACATGTTCCTTCGATGCCTCGGAAATCATCAAGCCAAACAAGCTATGGAGGAAAATCATGTTGGAATCTGTGGAGCTCATCAAACTGGCCCAAAGTTACACTTCCGAATAAAAAGGATGGGGTATTATTGGCCAACCATGGTTAAAGACTGTATAGAGTTTGCACGGAGATGCCAACCGTGTCAATTTCATGCTAACTTTATCAATCAACCACCGGAACCATTGCACCCAACTATTGCTTCGTGGCCATTTGATACCTGCGGCATGGACGTCGTAGGACCACTCACAAAGTCGTCCGCTGGACATCTCTATATCTTGGCCGCAACAGACTATTTCTCCAAATGGGCAGAAGCAGTTCCTTTGAAAGAAGTCAAAAAGGAGACGGTACCTGACTTCATACGAGTCAACATCATTTACCGTTATGGGGTTTCTCGGTGTATCATCACTGATAATGGAAGATATTTCGCCAATACTCACATCGACAAGCTTTGTGAAAAGTTTGGCTTCCAACAAAAGAAGTCCTCGATGTATTATGCACCGGCAAATGGACTCGCAGAGGCATTCAATAAAACACTTTGTAACTTGCCGAAAAAGGTTGTCTCTAAATCAAAAAGAAATTGGCATGACCGCATTGGTGAAGCTTTGTGTGCCTATCGTACTACATTCCGCACTCCAACACAAGCGACACCATACTCACTTGTATATGGGGTCGAAGCTGTCCTCCCATTGGAAAGACTAATTCCTTCACTAAGGATTGCTCTTCATGAAGAATTGACGACCGAAGAAAATGTCAGATTAAGACTCGAAGAGCTAGAGGCTCTCAACGAGAAAAGACTACAAGCTCAAAAAAGACTGGAGTGTTATCAAGCACGATTATCTCGAGCTTACAATCAAAAAGTCAAATCACGATCCTTTCAAATCGGGGACTTGGTTCTTGCAGTGAGAAAGCCCATTGTGATCAACTTTCGCTCGGGAAATAAATTTTTATCCAAGTGGGATGGACCCTACGTCGTCACTCAGGTCTACACAAATGGTGCATACAAGTTGACATCTCAAGACGGACTCCGGATAGGGCCAATCAACGGGAGGTTCCTCAAAAGATATTATGAGTAAGACCTTCAAATCAAATCAAGACTCCTTAGCATGAGAATAAACTGCAAAATAATAATAAAAGCAAATTCAAGTTGCTTTGAACTACGTTGTGGCTTGATCCCTTTACCGGGTATGTAGGCAGCTTGAGATATACCTTCAAGTTCAGTCAAATAAAATAAATAAAAATAAAAAAAAAGAAAAGAATGAGAGAATTTAAATTTATTGATTGGCAAGCAAAATGAAGAGTATAAATTGATATTAAACATTAAGATTATACAACTCTTCTTTGCTAATATCCAACAACTCTTCTAAGCTTTTTAAGTATTCTATGTCTTGCATAGGGACATTCTCTGCGGCGGCGAGTTCACCCTTGACTTTAGCAATTTGAATGGTGATATTCTCATTAACTCCTTGATGTCGCTTAATAAGGGAAATATTCTCTCTTTTTTTGCTCTTGTAAATAGCGAAGCTTCACGTCAATATTCTCCACACACCCCTCTAATTCCTTGATAGCTTCGCAGTCCTCAACATGCCTCGTCTCAAGGTGCGACAAGCGATCTTTGATCTCGGAAATCTGTTGGTTACGAGCCGCCAAGGATACGGCGTCGATCGAGTCAGAACATGCCTCATCAAAAGATGCAGCGTCATCAAAAAGGGCCTTGACACGGTCCTCAATATGAGAAATGTCAGAATACTTAAAGCTTTTCATTGATTGGAGCACTACGTCAACCTCGTCCTTAATCGAGGAAAGCAAACGAGCTGGTGTCCTCAAAAGCTTACCCCGAAGATCCAACCATACTTTTCCTATATATTCGCGTTGGATCTCTTTCAAAAAATCCGCGCCACAAAATTCTGAAACCGCGGGCACAATGGAATGAACAACTATGGGCTTGGTTGGAGCATCCTTTACTTGCTCATTGCAAACACCTCTGCTTTCCCCAATCACCCCAACAATGGAATCTCGGCTTGCCATCTTTTCATCCATACTCAGGATTCTTTGCTCCAACTGAAAAAAGGGATAAAAAAAAA